TGGATCCCCCCCCTGGGTCCCGCCGCCTCCTCCACCACCACCCGCCCACCGGGACTCGCAGGTGCCGCCACCGGCCGCCCCCGTCACCGGGATGCTGCTCTCCAAAATCACCTCGCTGGCGCATCTCCGCTCCGGCACCGGCGCGGAGCTGCACCCCGCCAAACTCCAGCCAGGTCAGGGCAGGGATTACCCCGTGTGGGGGCTCGGGGGCCGCCGGGGAGAGCGGGCGGAGCGCTGACGGGCGGGTCTCGTCCACAGGGAAGGAGAAGGAGCCGCTGGAGCAGCTGTACCGGGTGGGCCCTTTGCTGGGGAGCGGCGGCTTCGGCAGCGTCTACTCCGGGATCCGCCTCTCGGACGGCGCCCCGGTAAGTGGCGGGGAGGGCGGCGGGAGGAGGAGGAGGAGGAGGAGGAGGGGGCTCGGCGGGGCGGGCGCCGAGCTCATCCCGCCGTTCCCCCTTGGCTCGCAGGTGGCGATCAAACGCGTGGCCCGGGACCGCATCTCGCAGTGGGGAGAGCTGGTGAGTGACCGGGGCCGGCGGGGGAACCCGGGGCGTGACGGAGGGGATGAGCCGAGGGGCGGGAGGGGGGAAACCGGGACAGCGCGGGGGGAGCGGGCGTGGGGTCACCGGGGGACGCGGAGCATCCCGTGGAATACCCGGCACCGGTGGGAGCGGGCGGGGGGGCACCGGACCATCTCCTGGGCGGGGGGATGCCCAACACCGGCGGGGCTGAGCGGGGGGGAGCGGAGTTTGCCCTGGGCGGGGGGTAGCGGTACCGGCCCCCCGGCGCAGCCCCAGCCCCTCTGATGGCAGCGTGGTCCCCCCGCAGCCCGGCGGCAGCCGCGTGCCCCTCGAGATCGTGCTCCTGAACAAGGTGGGCTCCGGCTTCCACGGCGTCATCCAGCTCCTGGACTGGTTCGAGCTCCCGGACAGCTTCGTGGTGGTGATGGAGCGTCCGGAGCCGTCGCAGGACCTCTTTGACTTCATCACGGAGCGGGGGTTCCTACCCGAGGAGATGGCGCGGGGGCTGTTCCGCCAGGTGCTGGAGGCCGTGCGGCACTGCAACAACTGCGGCGTCCTGCACCGCGACATCAAGGACGAGAACATCCTCCTGGACCTGGCCACCGGTGAGCTCAAGCTCATCGACTTCGGCTCCGGTACCTTCCTCAAGGACACGATCTACACCCAGTTTGACGGTGAGCCCACACCCGGGTGATATTCCCGGTTCCGGGCATTGCACGGGCTCTGGAGATTCCCTGTTTGCCGG